AGTGTTAATAGGGAGCGAGGGGACGGTCAGTGTTAATAGGGAGCGAGGGGGACGGTCAGTGTTAATAGCGAGTGAGGGGGACGGCTAGTTTTAATAGTCAGTGAGGGGACACTTTGTATTCCTGATCGGTCACTGTGAAGGTTGGTGAATGAATGGTGATTGGGTTTGGCTGCTGAGCTGGAATCGCTAATAGATTATAGAAGAGAGCCAGTAGAACCGGTTTCTTATGAAGCTTATACAGGGTGGATTTTCTTTTTTAGTTTTATCCTTATTGTCATTGTTAAGGGACGTGGTTACACACAGTGTGTCTGTGCCAACGATCTATTGAATGCATGGCTCACTTGCTTTAAGGGTGTAGTCTAAGCACTATATCCCACTATAGTGATTATGGTTCTATTGGTACAATGATGCTGCCTCACAGTGGGGAGTGACATGTTTTTGGTAATTGTTATAGACAACAAACTATGCAACAATGTGCAATGTCAATCAGCAGTGGCCAAAGCCAGTAAGGTATTGTCATGCATGAAAAAGGTCTTTTTAAATCGCTGGTAAACCACACCTTGAATATGCTGTGCAATTTTGGGCACCTGTTCTAAAGAAAGATATCATGGCACTAGAAAAAGTGAAGAGAGGAGCTACAAAATTAATAAAAGAAATGGAGCATTTTAGTTATGAAGAAAGGTTAACAAATTTAAACTTCTTTAGTTTAGAAAAATGTCGTCTGAGAGGGGATATGATAACATTATACAAATATATTCAGGGCCAATACAAACCATTGTGTGGAAATCTATTCACAAACCGGACTTTACATAGGACACAAGACCATGCGTTTATACTGGAAGAAAGAAGATTTAGTCTAAGGCAAAGGAAAGGTTTATATACTGTAAGAACAATCCGGATGTGGAATTCTATGCCTGAAGAGGTGGTTTTATCAGAGTCCATACAGATGGTTTAAACAGCAATTGGATAAATAGTTGCAAAAACAGAATATTCAAGGATATAATTTTTCAATGTACGGTAATAGCTTCTTGATCCAAGCATTAATTTGACTGCCATTCTGGTGTAAAGAGGGAATTTTTCCCTAGTTTGTTACAAAATTGGAAGTGCTTCAAACTGGGCTTTTTGCCGCCTTTTGGATCAACAGCACAAAACATATGTTACAAAGACACGTGTCCATCAAGTTCAGCCTCTTTTCAGCTATGTAACCTTTAAATATAAGTTCATCAGGCGGCTGAGGTGCATGTGGCTACTTTATATCGAGATCCTGTTACGCTTTAGCATTATCATTTATGTTCCTATTCATGATGGCTGTGCCTTTTGGAGACAGGGTGTGTGTGTGTGACTTGGTTTGTTATTGTAGAGGAAAGTTTGCAACTATAAGGGGATCTGCTGGGGGCCCCCAATATCTTGTTTAGCTACTGATTTATTTGCTCTTTAACGCAGGGGGAAATCGTCGCCTGAAGTATGTCAGTTTGGCCGTGTTGGTTGTACAGAATGCCTCGCTGATCCTAAGTATCCGATATGCCCGTACTCTTCCTGGGGAACGGTTCTTCTCTACCACAGCTGTAGTAATGGCAGAGATTCTTAAAGGCATTACATGTCTCCTCCTTATCCTGGCCCAGAAGAGAGGTGAGGAGTTAATGTACATTTCTAATCCACAAATATTCCCACTGCAGATATTGGACCTGGAGTGCACTCCACCTTTGTGACCAATAGAATCTGTTACCCTTAAAGAAACACTGTAGTCTCTATAACGATAGCACAGTGAAGTGGTTATAGTGCTCGGAGTCCTCTGGCACTGTTTCTCCATTCATTTTTGAGCAGTTTAACACTGAATGAGGGCCCCTGGCTTCCCATTGTTCCGCCACCACTAGAGGTGTGATTAAGGTAGAGATTACACACTTCCTTCTAGCCATATAGAGTCATACCAGAAATGTGTGCTGTGATACGCTGATAGCGGTCAACTGACACATTCAGCCAATCACAGCTGCCTATTGCTTCTCAGCTGGGACTTATCTTTAAAAAAAATAGTTTAACACTGAATGGAAAGATGGTTCCAGGGGACTCCAGGCAGTGATTTGAAGCAGTTGCAGTGCCTACATGGTCCCTTTAATTCCTGCAATATATGAATGGGTGCTAGTGCTTCTTAACTTATAATGCTGTTTTCTTTTAGGAAATGTAAAAGAGTTGGTTGTATTCCTGTACGAGTCGATCATTGTGCAGTACATAGATACACTGAAGCTGGCTGTGCCCTCCCTAATCTACACCCTACAAAACAACCTGCAGTATGTGGCAATCTCTAACCTCCCAGCAGCCACCTTCCAGGTTTGATCTATTGGTTTCCAATCCTTCCCTTTCTCTCCCTCCTTCCTCCCTCCCATTTACCGCCTCTTCCTTCCTCCTTCACTTTTATTTAATTTACATGTTTTTCACTTACTGATTTTCTTTCTATTTACACCTATCGACAGGTCACATATCAACTGAAGATTTTGACAACTGCCCTTTTCTCAGTCTTGCTTCTGAGGAAGAGTTTATCCCGGTTGCAGTGGGGTTCTCTGGTAATTCTGTTTGCCGGTGTCGCTATTGTTCAAGCAGAGCAGTCTGGTGGCAAGGAGAGTGTGACGGCCAGCGATCAGAGCTATGTTGTTGGCTTGGTTGCCGTGTCTGTTTCCTGTCTGTCCTCTGGATTTGCCGGTGTGTACTTTGAACGCATCCTGAAGGGTAGTTCTGCGTCCGTGTGGTTACGCAATGTTCAGCTGGGCATCTTTGGCACTGCCTTAGGACTTGTAGCCATGTGGCAGAAGGATGGATCGGCTGTGGCTGAGCATGGTTTCTTCCACGGTTACACACCTCTTGTCTGGTGTGTCATCTTCAATCAAGCATTTGGAGGTCTCCTTGTGGCTGTGGTGGTCAAGTATGCAGATAACATCCTGAAAGGCTTTGCCACGTCACTGTCCATTGTGGTTTCAACTGCGGCTTCTGTCCATCTTTTTGGATTCCATGTGGATGTTCCATTTGCGCTTGGAGCAGCACTTGTGATTGGAGCCGTTTATCTGTACAGCCTCCCAAGAGCACCAGACTGTCCTCCAGCACCTCAGACAGCCCAGCTTAAGGAGTCCTTCCTTCCCAAGTCAGTTCTCACCAAGTGACAAGCCGTGTTACCCTGTGAAATCATGAAGTACAGTGGACTGGGGTGGAATTCTAGGAGTTCAGTTTGATTCGCTCCTAACCTATATCCTCTCTCCTCTCCCATAACTCAGCTTGCTTGTATTAACAGGCTATTTCCAATAACCATTTAGTTTGAAAGCAGTTCACCACCATCTATTCTATTGCTAATCAAGGTGTGGAGAGCTAAGATCCGAGAGATACATTTGGGGAAGGACAGCAGATATTATTTCTCCTGGCGGAATTTGAATTCTATGCTATGTTTTCAAATTGTGTAATCTAACGTAGAGATTGGCCAGGGACTGACTCCACCCTTCTAGTAACTCTCTCCTCCAATGGTATCAGCCTGGTCGCTGTCCACATATGTATCACGTGTGGTTTGGCAATATTGAACTGTAGGTATCACGTGTGTGGTATGGCAGTATTACATGGTGAGCTGTTTCTATCTGTAAATATTATACAGAACTATATATTTGTATATATGGGGATGAAGTGATATGATAAATATATGGTCACTGGTGCGGAGAGGTGTATATAGGGACTCTGCCTGGGAAAATAATCGGTGTGATTGCATGGTACTTGGTAATGTGGTGTGTGTGTTGCACTGGGTGTTTTTCTGCCATTGCTGTGGTGCAGTGTATGCCAGCGTGGTACAAGCATACAGGGCAGTATATTATTGGATTACTGTAAATCAGAGAGCTGTCGGGTATCGTGGCAATGAGAGGATTTACATGGGGTGACTGCTTCTTCAATGCATGTTCATTTCTTTCTCTTGTACTAAAAATGTTTTAAATGTAAAATAAAATCATTTGTATTTATTCTACTTTCTCTTTCTCATTAGTGCCTCTTTCTTTACTGACCCATTAACCCTAAATTAGCCAAATCCCAGAAGCTCACTGTTTATATTGATCGCTTACTGGACATCAAACTGACTCCACACAATCTATTTATCTATCTGTGTTGTGTATTAACCGGGGATGTGTCCTTTGTATTGTGTTACTGGCCATGTGACTAACTTTTACCTCGCCCATACGTTACTGACTGCTAAAACTGAAAACAAGATAGGCCCTCTCATAACCAGCAACAAAAGGAAATTTTTGTTAGATTTAGAGTAAAAGAACGAATGTCATTGTTTATTTAGGGCTGATGTTCTGTAATGTAAAGCATTGTTTTCTACAAGCTGTTCAGGGATTGCCATCTGGGACGCTGCAGCCAATGTTGGTTACCAAAACCCCACCCCTGCTGGTTACCGAGACACCGCCCCATCAGTCCCCTGCTGGGTGTCGATAGACCCTCCCCCTTCAGTCGCTTGCTGGCTACCGATACACTGCTCCGTCAGTCGCTTGCTGGCTACCGATACACTGCTCCGTCAGTCGCTTGCTGGCTACCGATACACCGCTCCGACAGTCGCTTGCTGGCTACCGATACACCGCTCCGACAGTCGCTTGCTGGCTACCGATACACCGCTCCGACAGTCGCTTGCTGGCTACCGATACACCGCTCCGTCAGTCGCTTGCTGGCTACCGATACACCGCTCCGTCAGTCGCTTGCTGGCTACCGATACACCGCTCCGTCAGTCGCTTGCTGGCTACCGATACACCGCTCCGTCAGTCGCTTGCTGGCTAGTTACAAAGGTCCCGTCAGTCCCCTGCTGCTTACTGAGGCTCAGTGCCCTGCTGCTTACCTAGGGCCCTCCCCGTCAGTCCCCTGCTGGGTGTCGCTAGACCCTGCCCAACCCACTGTGGGTTACCGATAGCCACCCAGGTGTATGCTGGACAAATCATGGCATATGCTGATAGATAATGACAGTCTTTGTTTACTCTTAGGAAATATTAAAAGGACTCCAGTTGTATGCAACAACATACCTGACGTGCATTTGATATATTTTGTCAGGTGTGGTTTTTATTTTATTTTTAAATCTCAGTTTTGCTAAATAGAAGAAAAATGTTTTTTGGTTTCATACAGGAAAACCTTTTGCCACGCCCACTCTTTTTACAACTTCATTAATAGATTTATTACGTACACTGCTCACCCAATGAGATATCAGTGTCCCCACAGCCAATCACTGAACTCTCATTGACTGAGATACATGGCTTCCCTGTCAGTGAGGCTTCAAGCACCATAACCACCACAGCATTAGGTGTGGGTCACCTCCTTCATTGAGAGCTTGAAAGTCAGGGCTCGTTGGCTCAAATGCACTTAAGTTATCACTAGCAAAAACTAACTGTGGCCAGAGCAGTTTCCATGGTAACTAAAGAATGACTTGCAGAGTACAGTCTCGAATGCAACCTGCAAATACCGAAAACTGTTCCCAGGCAATAGCAGCACAAATCCACACAGCATGTGACTGGCTTCAGGTATTTGGTCATATAAAATCCTGTATGTTACTCTGTGTGCCATTTTTCTGGGGATGTAAATACTCATGTCCCGTCTGGTTTTTGTCTTTCAGGAACATTTCCAAACAGAAAGGGTGTTGAAGTGTTTGTGTGGACACCCTCAGGCTGGTTGTGACATACAAAGTGTTATATTCTTCCCTTGTACAGAGGATGGGAGACTGTGTCAGGAACCTTCTTCCCTACTGTAGAACTCACAGGCTTGGACAATGCTGGGGTGGAGCAAGCTCTGCAGTCCACATCCCTGGATGATTCCATTATTATTTTATCCAACATGTATAGTGATATAAAGACATTAGTTTTGTTCTACACGACTAATTCGTGGAATGTCTTTACTGTCAGCTGTGTTTGAGAAACAGATTGGCAATGTTGAAGGCTTTATAATGGACCGAGAGGGGAGGCAGCGGGCCATTGGCAAAAGATGGTCTGGATCTGTTATAGTAAAATGTAAGGAAAACCGATAATTAAACATGTTATTCCACAGCATTCTTTTGATAAACATTCTAAGGTCATGCAGAACCATGGCAGCCAATCATCTTGCAGTGTTTGTTAAAGTGTATTAAACCAGACCAGGGTTTCCATGGTAATTGGACAAACTGACATCCGTTGTGTACATAGCGTTTCAGGATTGGTGGGCAGTGTGTGCTACATAGAGAATACTATTACATAGGCTGAAAAGAGACTTGCGTCCATCAAGTTCAGCCTTCCTCACATATGTTTTTGCTGTTGATCCAAAAGAAGGCAAAAAACCTAGTCTGAAGCGCTTGCAATTTTGCAACAAACTAGGAAAAAATTCCTTCTTGACCCCAAAATGGCAGTCAGATGTCTCCTTGGATCAATCAGCTATTACCCCACTAACTAGAAATTATATCCTTGCATGGTATGTTTTTGCAAGTATTTTTCCAATTGCAGTTTAACCCCCTTAGTTACCAGATTGTTTTTCCATTTTCTTACTGTTAAGGACCAGGGCTGTTTTTACATTTCTGCTGTGTTTTTTTCCTAATTTTTATATTCTTAATTTTTGTTGTGCTTTAAGTTGACAAAGATATCACAGTATACGTTGTATGCAATGGAGGAACATGTCATATTAGATTAAGTATAGAGATATTTCAGCACATTTTATAATAATCTAGCAGGAGCGATGTACACAGTGTGGCTTGAAAAGAAATTAAGACATTTTGGTGTCGATTAAACACTTTGTGTGCATCTGAGTATGTGTGTCAGGAGTTTATTGCCATTGAGTAACATCAATAGTGTTAGCAATTGTTTAAGGTGGTTGACGTGTTAGTAAGGTTATTATCTATGAGACGCTTTAGTATGTGTACTGTGTGCATATACACTTGTGGTTTATGGTCATGGTGGTGTGTGGCACTCTAACTGGGTATGTGTAAGCATAGAGCAAAATATATACATAACAGCATAATGGCCCAGCTAGAGAAGCGCTGGGTGTTTGGGTCAGAGCGTCTGTTTCATCCGATACCCCTTGTGGGGAGGCGGTACCCCTCCAGCCCCGGGCTGATGTCGAGGCCTGCCTTTCCTGGCCACAACCTCTTCCTTGCTTGGTAGTGATAGAGGGACTGTTTGTGTACCGATGTTTGAGTTCGGACCTCCACTTCCGCAGGCAATGCTGCCAGTATTGCACCCGCGTGGCTTTCAGTCCGGGTGGGCCAGAAGGAGAAATAGGAGTAGGTCGTACCTTTGTGAGACCCGAGGGTGGGGGGTAGGAGGTGAGAGCTCTGAGGTATCCATGTCCAGGTCAGTCAGCGTGGAGAGTGGCCGTTTCTCCACAACTTGGATCTCCAGTAGGCCTCAGGTTTGTATTGCAGGGTCCTGGTGGGTTACACGCTTGGATTCAGTGTCTGTGTTTAGCTGTAATTTTCCTCTTACTCATTTACTGTACCCACATTATATACTGTCTCTCACCTTTAAATGGTCTTTTTAAGATGCAATTATTTTCATCATAATTTACTGTAAAAAAAAAATATAAAATAGGATGAAAAAAGTAAAAAAAAAAAACCCAGACTTTTTCTAACTTTGACCTTCCAAAATCTGTTACCCATCTACAACCACCAAAAAACACTTGTGCTAAATAGTTTCAAAATTTCTTCCTGAGTTTGCACAATGTTAACATGTTCTTAGCTTTTTTTGCAAGTTATAGGGCTATAAATACAAGTAGCACTTTGCTATTTCCAAACCAATTATTTTCAAAATTAACACAAGTTACCACTGATATCTGTCAGGAATCCCTGAATAACCATTCACATGTGTATATATATTTTTTAAAAGACTGCTAAGTTAGAGAAAGAGTAGAGAGAATGTGTCAGGTTGCTGTTGCTTGATGGGGGTAACCCCTAGATAGAATATAACAGAAAAGAGAGCAAAAAAGCCAGAAAGGAAATGGATAGGTCTAAACTATTCCCCTTTCAAGCTCTAAGAATATTAGAGCAACCCGATATAAACTTTTAATTTAGCTTAAGTAAAAAAAAAATCCATATGTATCATTAAACAGTAAAAGAAAACGGGCAAGAAAAAACAAAACAAGATCTATGCTAGATAGTGCTACACCTGTCAGGTAATTGCACCTATGGCACGGAGATTTTTTTTTTTTTTAAAGAAAACAACCAAAGGTATTAAACTTGGGCTATTTTTACTCTTTTTTTTATGCAACCATTTCACCACCAATTTTAAAAATAAATAAATAAGAAATTGGTGATTTCTTTGACACACATAGCAATGTAGGAATATATGTACTGAGAACCTTAAGGGTTACTGCCAAAGAACACCCCAATATGTGTTCAGAAACATCTCCTGAGTACAGTGATACCACCTATGTACAGGTGTGTCGGGTTTTCTGGGGGCTAAAAGACCTTATTTGGAGGGTGCGCATTCCAGTTTTCCAACTTGGAATTTTCACAGCTGGTCATCATGCACCCATGTCCTGTTTGGGACATTTTTGAAGCCGGCCAATGTAATTTACCCCCATCAAACTATATATTTTTTTATATATACAGTCTTTGTCAACCTGTTGGGTAGTAATTTTTTTATGTTATTTTTCACAGACGTTGTACTTTAGGTAGGGATTCTCAGCTCCTGTTATATATTACTGCCAAAGAACACCCCAAGATGTTTTCAGCAACAACATCTAAGTACAGCAATACCCCCAATGTACAGGTTTAATGGGTTTTTGCAAACTTACAGGGGTCAGATGTAGGGCTTTTCCATGTTTGCACATGCAAAGATTGGTTTGCTGGGCCGATGTTGCCTTCGAGACCGTATAGCAACCCAGGAATGAAAATTAATCCCATCATGGCATACCATTTTTAAAAGTAGACAACCACGCTATTCAAAATGGGGGTATGTCCAGTCTGTCTTAGTCACAAACCCTGGACAAAATTTGCGTTTTTATATATATATATATATATATATATATATATATATATATATATATATATATATATATATATATATATATATATATAATAAAAAAAAAAATTGTTTTGCATTTTTCACACAAACTGCCATGTCACTGATGATATCAGTATAATACATTTTACTGCTCTAAAACACTCATATTTATGTAGAGTAATGTCTCACGAGTACAACAGTACCCCTCAAGTACAGGTTTTATAGTAATTTGGAAAGTTAGAGGGTCAAACATAAGATTTGCTAATTTGTGTTTTTGTAAATTGCTATTTGCCAGATTGGCTATGTTGCCTTTGAGACGGTATGGCAGCCCAGAAATGAAAAGTAACCACACCGTTTGAAAAAGTAGACAACCCAGGGTATTCCAAATGGAGTATTTCCAGTCTTTTGGAGTAGCGGCTTAGCCACAAACGCTTGCCAAAGTTAGCATTTTTTTTTGTTGCATTTTTTAAAAACAAAAACGTCACTTTTATTGGTGATATTGTCGTGATAAGTTTTACCTTTTAAAACACTAATATTTGTGTTCAGCCAAGTATAACAGTACCCCCCAGGTAAAGGTTTTATGGTGTTATGGGATTAAATATAGTACTTCCCAATTAAATTCTCTGGATTGCCTGCCAGGGTTGTCAGACAGGTCCCTCAAATTATATTAATAAAATCAAATAATTATATACAGTAATACCCCAAAAATTTGCACTTCGGAATCTACGGCTTCACAAATTCACGTATGTGACGGACCGACTGGGTGCCTCCGTCAATCTCTGCTTCCTAGTCACCTTGAGTACTATAAGCACCGCACTGGACACCATAGCCAGTATAGTAATCCAAAGAGCAATCCCATTAGTAGGGATTATAGCTGTTCACTACAATCACGAGACGATGCTATGTGGTGAAGGTAAAGTGGACTGACTTTAATGGTGCCACACTTGGCCTTTTATGACGATCTCCATGCAAGGGGCACTCCCCTATGGACCTTGTGGGGAACTACGTTACAAAGTCAAAGACCAATAATAAGTGTTACAATGCATGACACTCCCGCACACAATCCCTCCCTTCTGCCTGGGAGATAGATACTGTATTAACTCAATTGACTCAATTATGTCCACGCAGAAAAGACATGTCCACGCCCCAAAAGTACCCCAAAAACACATGACATCCCCACAAATGTTACATGCCTTGATCTGGGTGACCAACAGATCCAAAAATCACCCAGATCAGTTCAGGAATTTCCTGGAAGTCATTTATTTGACCGACTGCAGGCATCGTCCCATGCCCAAAATAGTTCCAGAGAATCAGGGCTTGCGGTCAGTCTAGTTCATTAGTTTGAAAACAAACAACCTACCGAACAGAGTCAATAGTCTTACCCTGGAGCTTGTTGCCTTCATCCAGACGAATGATTTTACCGAACAGTACCCTTCTAAGTTGTATAGAATCGAACGCAGGCGATGATGGAAGTCCAGCGGTGTTCGGGAGATTGTGTGTCCAATTTCAGTTCCATTCATGCTCAAACACCGCTGCCTGTGTTCATGCGAGCAAGATGGCTGCCACCTCGTGGTTGTCCATAGGAATTGCGGCCAACCAGACGAACGATTAGAACACTGCGGTGAGAAACGTTCCAGGTTGTTAATAGGGGTTAACAAGCTCCAGGGTGGTCTCTGGTTCGTGCGGTTGTTCGAAGTGCCGCTTCGAGAGTTCGAAGTGTAGACATACAAGTCCAAAAGGTACAAACAGTGATTTTAACCAAGGTTTATCACAGGGGCCAAAGTCACAGGGTTGGAGGCTGGCAAACAGGCCCCTCCAGGAACCAGTGGCAAAGTTACTTTCGCCACAGTGGTTTTTTTCCCTCTGGTCCAGCAGCTGTAAGCTGTAGATTTTTTTTACGCGACTGCTGCGAGGAAGCGAGGTCACACGCGATTACATCGCTTCCTCCCAGCGCTCTTTGTAAACAGCCACGCAGGAGGAAAGAAAGAGGAGCTCCCAGGTAAGTGCAATAAAAATGAGGGAGGGGGTGAATTCTTTATCATGGACTCGCTAATAGTGATTCCATGATAAAGATTTCACCCCCCCTATTAAAGTTATTTTCTCTCCCGGACCGTAATATTATTGTCCATCTAAAATTTGAGTATTTTCAGAATTTGCGGAGGGTCTTAAAACGTACCCCCTGCGAATTTCCGAGGTATTACTGTAGTTAATAGTTAAATATATATGTAAAATGGGTGTGTGTATGTATATGTGTGTGTGTATGTATGTGTATATATATATATATATATATATATATACACACACACACACATATATACATAAACACAAAAGAGCTTAGTAGTAATATAGCAAGTGATATATGACTAGCATAGCAATCCCTTGTAGCAGATTCCCCCAATAAGAGACAGCACTCCAAATTGAGGTTGAAGTAGACCTGTTTAATGGAAGCAAGCACTCACAATTCATACAATTCCTCAGGCCAGAGGACACCCCCTGGACCTGATGGAACACTGGCACACAAAGGACACAAACCAATCAAAACAATACAACACTGTCTGACAAACCCAGTCATTATAGCAAAATCCTCCCCTCTGCCTGTGATATAATTACTGAATACAATGGGCTAACGTAATTATCACAGGCAGGAAAATACACAGTTTTACACAATATTCATAACTCTAAAAATAAACATCACATTCACATAAAACTTACATTTTCAGAATCAGCATACTCCAAATACAAACATATGTCAAAAGTTCTACTGGACTTTTAACATTTTTTTGTGGCCACCTTCTTGCGTTTGTCGTGGGTTCGTTCCAAACGAAGTTTAGCCTCTCTTCATTTGAAGAACCCAGTAAACAGCCTGCATGTCAGGACTAACTGGGTCAGGTTCAGTGTATGTACTGAGCTGCTGCGTGGGATTTCGATTGGTGTTCTGAGGGAGACACGGCTACACGTAAATTAATGGGGTTGGTCCTCCTTAAAAATCCCTTTGTTATTTTGCTTTGCCCCTAGTAATTGGGGTCTAAAAATCCCCCCCATACATTTGTGGCAGTTCTTTGGGATCCATGCTGGAGTCGGGTCCTTCCTGTTGGGGGGACCCAGTACAGGCTCTTTTCTTCCTTTCATGTATTTGAGGGTTTTCTGGGGACTTGAAGTGTTATGTTGCGGTTGTTGTACTCTTAATTAGCTGCCTGTTGTCTCCTGTATGTGTCAGCGTTGTTGGCTGGAACGCAGTGAGCGTTCCAACAGGCGGAAGTGCCGTTGCGGCCGGGTCCAGCGAACCCGGAAGTAATATGGATTCATGCATTCTGGCCACGAGCATTTGGAAGGCATAGCGTGTGTTCCAGTGGACTGCACATGTGCGGACCGGCCGTTTCCCCGGCTCTATTTAAACTTGGGGATGTTGACTGTCTGCCTGTGCGCTGCATCAGCTGATTGGTAATGGGAATTTCGGTCCTAAGCACTCTGACATTCCTCCTTTGCTCTGTATTTTGCTTGGCTGCCTGGAGTGGTTTTCTGTCATTATAAGGTAGGATTCCTAGTTTTATTCTTGTGGTTTCTTGTTTATGGGCATTTACTTGTCAGTTTGCATCTGCTTTTCTTGGGACTTGTGTTTTACATTTCCTTTGATTCTCCTTTTTTAGTATAGATTCTCCCTCTGCCTCTGCAGGATCCCTTTCTAGAAAACATTGGAGAGCTATTATTTTTATGATAGGGGGTTGTTAAAAAGAGTGCCAGATTGAGCCTGTAATAAATATGTTTACTTGTGGCTTTGTTTCAGCCCAAAAAAATCATTTGGATTCTCCAGCATGGAAATCAAGGGAAAATCCAATAAATGCATTAACTGTTCGTCGCCTGCACCACATGGAAGGAACCTCTGAAGGGAATGCTTATTGGAAGTGGCTTATTTAAGTCTACCACGGTGACAAGTGGTCCAAGAAGAGACGCAGAGCGAAAGTCAGTCTACCAGCTCTGGAGAAGACCCTGACTTATCAGAGGTCTCAAATGATGGTGAGGAGGAAGTGGAATATACCTCCAGGTCTCTTGACTCGAAGTCTATTGATAGACTTATTTCCCTTCTCAGGGACACTCTTAGTCTCACGGAAGAGAAGTCTGAATTGAGGGAGGCTGACAGGTTCTTTGAGGACCTAAAGCCGAATAGACCTACTTTCCCGGTACATTCCTCGATCAGGGACATGATCCTTCAAGAATGGAACAAGCCGGAAAGGAAATCCACCTTAAAAAATAAGTTTGCAAGTGTGATGAGACCAATCTCGCCACATTGCATTGGAGAAGCCTGGTTGCTCGCCTGTTGCCTTTGGATTATGGCCCCATGTTAAAAGGCTTGATTTTCCCCTGCAAAGACATGAAAGCCGGGTCATTCGGTGCTGGCCCTGTTTGAGCAGTGATACCCCAGATAGCTATGCCATGGAGCCCATTCGTATAATGAAAGACTATGGGAAAGACTTTGGCTCCATGGCAATTGAACTGTATGTGTGTGCTCTGAGAGCCATTCAGTAATAATGTGCGCTCAGATCTGAGCTATCTGGGGATATGTTGAATGTACCTGTTTTGTGCAATGGCTGCACAGTTATATGTTTTTATGTGTTTTATTGTCTTTTGCTGCCATGTGTTCAATGGAGTTTTGCCTCTGTCCTTGGAGATAATTGGATTACTTCCCAATTATCTCCAGGATAGAAGACTCTGTGGAACTGGTTTTGGGCAGAAAAGCCATGCTTCATTTGGTCACAAAGGACTACGATCTATCTTTTGAACCACTGGACCAATTTGGATGATTTTGACATATGTTTGTATTTGGAGTATGCTGATTCTGAAAATGTAAGTTTAATGTGATGCATACTTTTCAAGTTATGAATAATGTGGAAAAATTTATTTCTCTGCTTGTTATAATTACATTACCCATTGTGTAAGGTAATTGAATCACAGGCAGAGGGGAGGATTTTGTGTGGGAGTGTCTGAGTGTATTGTATGTGGTTATTGGTTGTGTTCCAAAACCCTGTGGGTGGTACTAATGTGTAAGAATGTGTACATAAGAACAATAAACCCACAGCTCTGTCTGTTCACTGCTTGACCCTCAAAACATAGCCTTGTCTCGTTCTTGGGGGGATTTATCGTATGCTGTTCCAGTTCGACTGCTAGGAGTGTAAACCTATTCGTATGGTTTTTCCTATTCGGCTGTTTACAGCATTCATATGGTTTCCTGTTCGGCGGATTGGTGTTCTGCAGTAGCTGTGCCTGTGTCTCTGGAAGGGGAAAATCACCTAAACGGCGGTTTAACCCTTTTATGCTGAGGGTGCCGTTACAGATACATTTTGGCTCGAACACCGCTGAAGCCGCCAACCTCCCTTCTTGTTCGGTAGAAGTGCACCAACGGCCCTATATTCGATAGTTTGTACCTGAATACACCATACCCCAGATAGCCATCCTGTGGAGTCTATTCGTATGGAGAACAGACTTTGTGAACACTTTGACTCCACGGCGATTGGACTGTGTGCATAGGATCTGAGCGCTATTCGGTACTTTTGTGCGCTCAGATCCGGCTAGCTGGGGATGGGTTACATGTATATATTTTGTGTGACAAATGTAACATTGTGTATTTTATTGTGTTTTAGTATTTTACTGTAACCATGTGGGTAATGGAGTTTTGCCTCTGTCCTGGGAGATAATTGGATTACTTCCCAATTATCTCCAGGACAGAGGGAGGGAAGTAAGGATGCATTGTGGGGAGGTTTTACCTCTGTGTGTCTCATTGGTTCATGTCTGTCTTTTGTGCGCTCAGATCCCAGCTATCTGGGGATGAGTTGCAAGTATATATTTTGTGTGATAAATGTAATATTGTGTATTTTATTGTGTTTTAGTATTTTACTGTAACCATGTGGGTAATGGAGTTTTACCTCTGTCCTGGGAGATAATTGGATTACTTCCCAATTATCTCCAGGACAGAGGGAGGGAAGTTAGGATGCATTGTGGGGAGGTTTTACCTCTTTGTGTCTGTCATTGGTTCATGTCTGTCCTTTGTCACAGTCTCCCTTTTGGTCCCCTAGGGGAGTGTCCACCAGGTGGGAGACCTGCATAAATACTGGGAAGGTATCCCTCATTAAACCAGACCACTGCTTGACCCTCAACACGGAGCTCTGTCTCGTCTTTGGGGGGGATTTACTGTATGCTGATAGAGACTGATTGCTAGGAGTGTAAGCCGCTTGTTTGCCTTTCCTATTCGTCTGCTAGCAGCTATTCGTGAGGTTCCAGTTCGGGAGTTTTGAGTGCTATTTTGTATGCTGTTAGGGAGTTCGGAGAATTCCCTTACATGCGGTTCGGGAGTTTGGTGTTCTGCAGTAGCTGTGCCTGTGTCTCTGGAAGGGGAAGATCTTCTAAACGGCGGTTTAACCCTTTTATGCCTGGGGGTGCTGTAACAGCAAGGATTTATCCTTACTCTGCCATTGACTGCAACCTAAGAAATTCAGTTCCTAAAATTGACGCGGGAGGGAGCAGGAGCTGGAGGGGGAAGTGTAGGGACAGTTGTTGGTGCCATAGGTACAGCCGGGATTGGGGCTACAGAAACAGGAAAGTTACCTGGGGAGGCACTTTCACCTTGCTTAACCTGCTGTTTAAGGTCTGCAGGTTGGCCAGGATTGCCGCAAGGGTGTCCTGGGTGGCAATGCCAGCGCCAGAAGCTTGACTTTGAGAGCTTGTGCCTGGCCTAGGCTCTGGGGCTTGGTTGGTCAACAGTCTGTATAATTCCGCCTTTCGGGCCGTAGCCGGAAAGGGGATGCCCCTGAGCCTAAGTTCGGCCGTGATTTTAGGTATAGTCCATGCTCTCAAAGACGTAGGGGTAGAAGGGGCGAGAGATACTCCTGGGGACTCTGGTCTGATAGGAGTAGATATTATATCCTCATCAGGTACCTCGTCCATGGGAGATGTGTCTTGCGACATTCTAGAAATGAATTAAATGAGTTGGGTTTAGTAGGGGCGTCTGAGAAAATTATTTCAAGGGGGGGAGGGGGAGGATTGCTTATGTGAACTGGACTGTAGGAATAAATGCCGAAGCGAAAAACTTAACTTAGACTAGTGACGGTTGAGGCCCTGCTAGTGCCAAGTGGCGGTGAGAGGCTCTATCTATGATTTGGGTGAAGTGGATTATGTTGCCACAGATGTGGTGGCGGGATGTTGGCCTCTCGGTGACATTTAAAAGGTTCAAACGTGTGGCCGTGACGAGTGAGGCCCTAACTACGGCCCTGTAGAAGAGCGAATGAGGCGATTAACTATGATTTGGGCGTAGGGCCATACCACGTGTTGAGGTTTGGGAGATGGTTTGTAAATGCCTCGGTGAGCTAGGTCTGACGTTCAGACCCTGTGAGCCAGTTCACGTAACAACTATGGGATAAATTGGCGTTTTATGTGCTGGTAGGATACTAACCTTGATAGAGATTATACTCGTGGACTTGTTTCTTCAAGTATATGAGAGAGAGGTCCAGTGGTTGGTGATGTCGTAGCAGAAGCCTAAGGGGTTTGAGACAGATGTAGATCTGAGTGAGCGTGGCGAATGGGCGCAATATGAGTTAAAGGGGGGCATGGACGGGTAAACGAGTGGCAAAATGGAAGGCTGTCTGCGGCCTTTTCATGGGAAACTGAAGTAACGTAACTGAAGTAACGTACTGAAGAAAAAACTATACCTGGATAAGGTACAAATAGCAAGGTTTTCTCCGATTTTAGACAGGGCAAGCTGTTGAGGCTATCGTAGTAGAACCTAAGGGTTTGAGATAGATGTAAATCTGAGTGGGCGTAACGTATGAGCGCAGAGTGAGTTGACAAATGTAAATTGTTGGCTGCCTGAGTTTCCTCAAACAGAAAATAAAGTAAAATAAATACTATACCTGGATTAAAGGACAAGCATCAGGGTTTTGAAATACAGAATGAGCGAAACGGTTGGTGCTAGCGTAGAATGGAACCTGGATTTAAGTATAAGAACCCCGTTTTTTTATTGCAATTTAGCCGTAATATATGGCGAAGTGCAGGGGAGGGCTGGCAGCCTTAGGCCTGGAGGGCAAAACCAGTCAAGTGGCCCATTGCACCACCAAATCAGTTCACCATCCATGCCCACCTTTTCCTGGTTTTATAACGGATATTGATGTTATGCTAATCAGTAGCTCTTTGCCATACCCGCTCCTTCACGGCTCCAGGCACTGCTTGTTGTGAGTGTGAGCCACTGTAAATTAGGGGCAGAGGGCACTTGCACTGCGGTAAAGATGGGGCTGGACAGGAGGAGAGTGCAGTGCAATCAGTGCACTCCCCTCCTGTGGGTCACCAGTAGACTGGTGCACCTGCCCAGGATCAGAGCCGGTGCAAGGATTTTTGCCGCCCTAGACAAAATAAAAATTTGCTGCCCCCCCCATGTAACATCACAATGCCCCACCCATATGAACTAACGCCAGTGCTGCACACAGTGTGTGTTTACATTAAAAAGCCTGCAGGGACCAGCTATAGACACAGAACCACTTCATTAAGCTATAGTGTCCCTTTAATGTGAGGTACATTATAGATTAGTGTCACTAATAATATACTAGATTGCCTACTTCCAAGCAGATGAGGATGATGATGGGCTGCAGTTTGGCTCCACTGGTCTGGTGTAGAACAGGATCTCTGGAGGCTGTTTGCAACTGTAGTCACAAAATTCAATGTTCTGGGAGAATTGGAAGCAGCTCCATTTTTTGGGGGCCCCTTACACAGCTCAAGTTCTGGGCCCCAGGGCCTGATGGTAAGTATGCCCACAAGGCCCACTCATAAGTCCACTTATATGTTCCACCCACCCATGAGTTCGCTCACAGGGAGTGGAGTGTGTAGGGGATGTGTTATGTGTTATTGTAGAGGATCTAATATGTGTGCTTATGGTATGTAGTGTATAGGTTTACCAGTTTGTGCAGGTGATGTAGTGTGTTTGTGTGTAGTGGAAGCAGTGTGTATTTGTGTATAAGGGATGTATTATGTGTTTTTGGTTGTGTGTAAGGGATGCATTGTGTGAATCTGTGTTTGTATGCATAAGGGATGCAAGGTGTGTGTCTGTATGTGTGTGCATTGAGTGTAAGAGATGCATTGTGTTTCT